GGTCCGGGATAAGGTCTGGGATGGAAGGCTTATGCAGCCACTTCGAATTCGATCCCGGATTCAATCCCGTACTCTATCCCGGACCAAAATCATCCGGGATTGAATCAGAGATTGATTTTTTCCCCAAATTTCTCAGTCCTGCAAGCAAAACATGAAAATGACCCTAGATCTACATGGCTGCTTCAGATAGCGCCGATAATGATATCAGAACAACAAACGTTTCTAAAAATTTTGTTATAATCTACCCGACCACTAACCTTGCGATCGATGACTTCGTAGGGCGAAACAATGGAAGAGAAACGTCCGAGATAACTTCGTAAGGTCCGGGATGGATGAATCGTCCAACGTCCGAGATAACGTTAAATCCGGGATGAGTTTTAGGGTTTTAGGACAAATGAAACGTTCGAGAAAGGGTGAAAATTTTCGTTGGGCCAGGAAACGTCCGAGATGGGGTTTAGGATTTTACTATGTTGTATCATAAATAATGGTATATTTGTCTTTTCACTAAAGTGGGTTCAAAATTAAGTAGAGGTGGGATCAAAAATTAGATTTTTTCAAAAGGGGTTCATTTATCCAATTTGAACTATTAGTGCGGTCAAAAACCCCAATTTCCCTTAATTTAACTCCAGGAATCTTTTAAAAACTATTTCTCAAGGATTAATATAGTAACCAAACTGTCACTTTTTGAAACACAGGAACCAAATAAAAACCTACCTTAAAACTCAAAGACTAAAAGTATATTTTACCAAGTATATTTTACCTAATTAAATAGTTATTTCGTTGGAGTTAAACTAATGTTGTGTCAGCTTTTTATTCACAAAGTTTAATTAGTTTTTAGAAAATAATCTAATTGAGAGTTTTTGAAACCATTAAGAAAATTTAAGCATCTTAAAAGAGACCAAATTGAGTTTTATTTCTTTTCTCTTTGTGGAAAAGACAACTTTGATTCCGAACAAATAAGAACAAAGGACCAAACCGTATTCTTAAAACGTCGAGGATCAAAGGACTATTTGGTATAATTCAATTCTTCAAAGCATAATATGCAGTGATCTAAACCATAAGATTAATGATTCAAAATAGAAAATATCTCACAAATCTATAAACGCAAAGATAAATTAAACTTCAGCAATTTACCAATATCAATACTCTTAATCCTTAATCCTTAATCAAGTATTGGATGAATTTACGTCGCAAGGAAAACAAAGCAAAACATTGACAACCATGTCCGTAAAAACTTGGGAAAGAACAAAAAAAAACCAAACAAAACTCATCTTCTTCCCTCCAATCATCCTTAACGATTGGCCTTTGCAACTCTCTCAATCTCATCCTTTTTCTTGATGGCATAACTGCAAGAACAGACAAAAAAAGAACTCAGTGCCATGCTGTTCAAGGATGGATGAGACATCATCAGTTCAGTAAGAGAGATAATATTTACCTATTTGAAGAGCCCTTTGCAGCATTGATGAGTTCGTCAGCCAAACATTCTGCTATCGTCTTGATGTTTCTAAAGGCAGCCTCACGAGCACCGGTTGTGAGAAGGTATATTGCCTGGTTTACACGTCGCAGCGGGGATATATCCACAGCTTGACGCCTAACGACACCAGCTGAACCAATTCGAGTAGCATCTTCTCGGGGTCCACTGCCAAATTGTAACGGGCATGATTAACCAATCATGGTATAACGTGAATAGAACACTTCATAGATGGAACTCAGTGGATCATATAAATTATACCTGTTAACAACAGCATCGACGATAACTTGAATTGGATTAAGATCAGTTAGTAGATGAATAATCTCCATTGCATGCTTGATGATCCTCACAGCCATTAGTTTCTTCCCGTTGTTCCTACCATGCATCATAAGCGAGTTTGTAAGTCTCTCCACAATTGGGCATTGGGCCTTCCTGAAACGCTTCACAGAGTAACGACCTGCAGTGTGTGGAACATAAGTTGCATGCTTGGCAGGTGCAACTCCAACATAATCCACCAGAGAGATGTCGTTAACCTGAATCATCACACAAGGGACAGTAAGAAAATGTACTTGGTATTACAAGCCAAGTTTAAGCCAAATAGTACAGACCAACCACCATTCTACCACACAAAATTAGCAAATACAAATTATTAAAAAAAGAAAAAGAAAAGAAAAGCTTCTCACTGTGACACTATCTGATCATAACTCGCAAGTAAAATGAAAAGTGTAGACAATGGATTCAAACCCTTAATTGTTTTCTCCCATTACAAGAAACAAAACATCAACACTAAAAAAAGAGGGGGAATCAGAAACAAATACCAAAATAAAAAGACATATCTTATCATTCCCATCAAGGGACACTACAAAAGTTTGAACTGCAAAACTCAGGCATTTAGGGCCAGTTTTGTAACTTTCCTGTTTCTTGTTTTTACTTCTTCGTTTCTAACAAAGAAAAAATTAATTAGAGGACCCTAACATCCACAAGTATGATAAAAATATTTTTTATTATGTTTTAGAACCAATTGAAAATGGGAATAAGAAAGAAGAAACTTGTTTGGATGGTTTCCAAAATTTCTATGCAATTTTGATAATGTTTAAAAAAAAAAAAGAAACAAGAAACATAATTAGTTTAAAATAATTGAAAAGGAGAAACGGAAAGGTTACCATAATGATTATGATTAATCACACAAACAAGTTGCAAAGTCTTACAAAGTACAAGGTTGGATGACTAAAACTTGGAGGAACAATTTGAATCTCGGTACAGGAAGAAATATGCCAAATGACACACTATATAACAAGCCTACCATACTGAATGAACATTGAAATCCAAAAACGAAGCTATGATGGGAAGACCACGGAACAAACATCAGAGAAAAGCCCAATAATTGAAAAGCAGAATAGCATCAGAAGTTGCATAGAAATCAACATGGCATCCAAACAAAGCAGTTAAAAAAACAAAATGTAACCTGGACATCATCAAAGGTCCAGCGGTTGAAAAGCTTCACATCGTGGTGAGATTCGGTGAGTTCCTGAGCCGCTTCGACCGCAACTTCCATGTCTGAAACAATCACAACTCAGATGCAAGTACTATAGAGAGAAGATAACAACAACAAAAGTAGTCGTAAAAATAAGGTGTAATCTCATGTGGAACTGAACTGATTCCTTCTGAAACAAACAAGTACCTCGTCTGACGGCGGCGACCGGTGACCGGCGACGGGCGACGGCGAGAAAGATGGAATTAGACTGTGAGAGTGAGAGAGAGAGAGGGACGAGCGGCGGCAAAGACTGAAACCCTAAGTTCTAAACTACTAAAACATAATATATATATATGTATGTATATTTATGTATTTGGTTTAGTTCAGTCCGGTTCGGTCTGATTTGAACCGGTTTTATTTTAATTAATCTGTTCTTAAAATCTTAGCCCAACCCAGACCGCACAGTTACCTAACTAACTCAACTTAATGGAAAATTTTGAATATTGGGATTAGTACACAACTAGCCTTATTCAAATTAGCTTAACTTTTTAACCATTTATATCATTGTCTAAATATTGATACACGTGGAATTCATTAGGAAAATTGTCTGTAGGTCCTTTCTAATATATTTTAAATAAAGATAAAAAAATCAAATCAAATATGGAATAAATTTAGAATTTGGAGGATTACCTTATTTTTGTTTTGAATCATGCAGCCATGTTTCATGAAATTCATATATTTCTTTTCAAATCCTTGAAATCTTTAAAATCTCTAATTTGAAAATCAAAATCTCCCAAACATCACCACACCCACATAGAAGACTACAGTTTTTCATAAAAAAATTTTTTCTAAATCATAAAAATTGTGTTAGGGAGTTGATTGGATTTTGAATATATGACACAATATAGATTATATAAAACCTACTATTTGAATCTATGCCACCAAAAGCTATATATTATATAACCTAAAATATCATACCACTAAGAACTACTTTTGAAGTAGTATATGTTTATCATACCATTACGAGATAAAAATATATTATATAATGGTAGTTGGAATATATTCTTTTAACATAAAAGTATATAACAATAAAAAATATATATATATAGTAGAAGAGTATATGTTTATTTTGATTTCAATTTTTAGAAGTTTTTAAAAATTAGTAATTTTCCTCTATATTTTTGGCACTTCTCCCACCACCCAACACATCTTAAGGGCTTTTTTTTGGAAGGTAGATACCTGACATTTTTAGATGCTTGGAATCTCATATGCCCTAAATTTTAGATGTTCGGAATTTCAGATAGTCACGTTTGGTTTGTAAGAAAATTTATAAGAATATCTGGGAATATTTTGATAGCAATGTTTGTTTTGCAGGATTTATTCGTGGGAATATTGTAAAAATTTATGTAACGTTTCAAAAATGTCTTTACCGGTCGTCATATAATTTATATGTTAAATTTAATATTATTTGAATTCATATAAACATTTTTACTTTTATTAATTTAATATTATATTTTTTTGGTCAATAGTTTGTGTTTGGTGACTATTGGAAGAGTAAAATAAACGAAAGATTGCACGCTAGATTTGAATTGAAAATAAATTAAGATATTATACCATCGACTAATATTTATTTTATATCTAAAGAGTCATTGGTCGAGATCGAAGAAGGAAGCATCAGATGGATTAGTTCAAGTGGGAGCTCGTGGTTGTATCTTTTACATGAGACAAAACCACTTATGATTGCGTAGTCTTAGGATAATCATATATAGAAACTTGGTTGGTGCCAAGAAGAAAGTAGAGGTTGTCGATGGAGTAGGGATTGAGTTTTGGTGGGTGCCAAGAGGATGTTGATTAGTTGAAAGTTGTTGGTGCAGTCAAAACTGAGTTAATGAGAGACACTGTTATTGCAGTGGGAGACAGAATAGGTGTTTTGTCTCCAAGTAGGAGATTATTGGAAAATAGTGGAGCCAAAACCCAAGATAATGTAGCATGATTGTTCGGCTAAGCAAACAAATAAGACCCAACTCTAATTTTTCCTTCTTCATTAAGTTTGGAGTTAATCTCTAGTTTTTTTAGAAATTTATTTTCACAGATGCTTAAAGTTTTCCAATTTTACATATTTAGATTTCTGCAGGTAGGATTTTATTATAATATTGATTTTACCCTTATTTATTGCATTTATATTTATTATTGTTAATTTTTTTTGAAATCTAAAAGATTTAAATCCATAAATTGTAAACATAATCCTTTAATTATTGTTGGCCTCGTACCAATTTTTTCCATAATCCCTTAATTCACTAATTCATATATTAATTACAAAAAGATTATCATGATCAAATTCAAAATTAATTAATATGTAGATTTATCCATGATTTCAAATTGAAAATATACCAACAATTTTCTGCAAGTTTCATTACCCACGATTTTCTGCACGTTTCATTTCTTCCCACGATCTTCCAACATCAATTTCTTCCCACTGTTTTTTGCATGGAGTAGATATTCTTCTGTTCAACATCAATTTCTTTCCACGATTTAATGCTGCATTGCACTAATACTAAGGTTAAGTATGTTTGTTGCTCACGATTTACTACTACTCACGGTTTGCTGCTGCTCACAATTTTAAGAATATGGTTGTTGCTTTAATTTTTTTGGTGAGAAGAAGATTCTTCCACATGCTTTCTTTTGGTTGGTGATCGTAGAATATAGAAGCATTGCTTTAGTTTTTTTTGTGAGAAGTTTATGGCTGCTGATCTATGTATTTAATTTTTTTTAGTGATAAATCCTTTAACAGAAGATAAGTAACGAGAAGCATGAATTGATTGACGTCAATATTGAAAGGAGAAGAAAATACAATTTATCTATACATCAAAAGAAACACACACACACACACATATATATATAATATATATATATTTCTTATTATGCATTCAATTATGTTCATGTTTTTTCGTTATTCCATTTTTATGTTTACGTTTTATATAAGTTATAACATATATGTTACTTGTACTTTTGAAATCAACTATTATTAGCGATGTAATTAACATTATGTATGTACGTCTTTAAAAAGTATGATAACTTGCATATCATGTATTACTATAGAATTTTAACAATTAATTATTAATATATATATTTTAGGATATAACATATACACCGTGAGGATTTTTGAAATCAAATATTATTATGGATACGATGAATATAATATATATACCTATTAATCCTGTTTTATAACTTTCATACTATGTATTATTCGAACTTATAGAGAATAATTTGTTATAAATGTCAATGATTTGTATTTTTATAAATATTATGTAAATAAATGTACTTTTATAAATGTCATGTAGGTAGCACTTCTATGCCCGTGCGCAAGCTTCATAGTGGATTTTGGAACGACAAAGATAATTACGTGGAATATTAGATATAATATACACCCTATTAACTACAAATTTGGTACTTAATTATAGATATAAAATACATCCGGATATGATATTTAAATATTAAAGCCTCAATCTCATATAAACTTATACAGTGTTACATCAAATTACAATTAACAAACAAAGCTCAAAAAACCTATTCTATCAAGTTAGACACCCTAACATATGCTTAATTATTATGAATTACTCCTTATAACATTAACCAAGCGAATGCAATCAAATATAATTACAAGATAAACCTATATGATAAATATAAAATATATCCTACTATTGAGTTCCTATAATTACCCAATTGGTATTTAGTTGTAGATATATATTATATCCGCATATATACAAGAATTCACACCTAAATTTTGCACCACTCAAATCATATTTGAATCTTTGACAATATGAACTAAGGAAAAATCGAAGTGCAGTCTACAGAGTGTATTTCTTCACCTAAATTTTGCACCACACAAACAAAAGACTCTAATACTTCTTCATCTAAAGGTAGCAATTTTAAACTAGTTAAACTAGATATGAACTATATCCGCATATAAAAAAAAACAAATGTGTTTGGGGAAGAGAATACACTGGACACATGGAGGACCCCTATTGGTACTCCAAGATGACTCATGAGTCTTGCCCAGCTCGGACCGCCGAGATCACCACCACTAGCGTTGACAGATGCTAAGTATGAGGGCCGAGGTGAACCTGGTCGAGGTCCGACCTATCGGGAAGCTCGGTAGGGGCCGATGTGAGCTACTGTCAGCGGCGTGATTA